GCTGCCGTGCCCGCGACCGCGACCTGCAGGGACACACACACACCATGTGGGGAAGGGTTCCTGACAGAACAGGGACATGCTGTGCTCCTACAGGAACTGCAGGTGACACAGTTCCTTTGAAGGAACACAGGGATCCAGCCCTGTGGCAGAACCTCTCGCTGCTGCGGCTGAAGGAGCACTGTCGTGCCCGCGACCGCGACCTGCACAGCCACAGAGACACCAGCTGGAAAAGAATTCCTGACAGAACAAGGGCACGCTGTGCTCCTACAGGAACTGCAGGTGACACAGCTCCTTTGAAGGAACACAGGGACCCAGCCCTGTGGTGGATGGAACCTCTCGCTCCTGTGGCTGTAGGAGCGCTGCTGTGCCCATGACCTGCACAACCACACAGACATCAGCTGGAAAAGAATTCCTGACAGAACAAGGGCACGCTGTGCTCCTACAGGAATTGGACAACCCTGGCCTGCAGGTGACACAGTTCCTTTGAAGGAACACAGGGACCCGCTGGGGGTTCTCCTGTGGCTGGACCTGCAGCTGTAGGAGCGCTGCCGTGCCCGCGATCTGCAGGGACACACAGACACCAGGTGGAGAAGTGTTCCTGACAGAACAAGGGCATGCTGTGCTCCTACAGGAACTGGACAATCCTGTCCTGCAGTGACACAGTTCCTTTGAAGGAACACAGGGACCCAGCCCTGTGGTGGAACCTCTCGCTGCTGTGGCTGTAGGAGCGCTGCCGTGCCCGCGACCTGCACAGCCACAGAGACATCAGCTGGAAAAGAATTCCTGAGAGAACAAGGGCACGCTGTACTCCTACAAGGACTGGACAACCCTGGCCTGCAGGTGACAGAGTTACTTTGAAGGAACACAGGGACCTGCTGGGGGTTCTCCTGCGGCTGGACCTGCGGCTGTAGGAGCGCTGCTGTGCCCGCGACCTGCACAACCACACAGATATCAGCTGGAAAAGAATTCCTGACAGAACAAAGGCACGCTGTACTCCTACAGGAATGGGACAACCCTGGCCTGCAGGTGACACAGTTCCTCTGAAGGAACACAGGGACCCACTGGGGGTTCTCCCATTAACATGCTACAAAAGGGCTAACTATCTACACAAGGTATTTCAAGGCTAAACTATCCAATTAAGAAATGACACCTAAATTATTTACTTTTAACCCAATAACTGATCACTCAAAGTCTGCAATGCTGACTTTTCTGTCCAATTACAAAATGCCACCCAAACCCCTAAAGAAAAAGGGGGACCAGTCTCCACCCTAAAACCTCCATCTTGCTTTATATCTATTACTGTATTCTAAAACCCCAAACTCTGAGTTTCCCACCCTGCGATATCACACATTTCTGTTCAAACCCCACACCCACAATCCCAGTTCCATCATTCCATTCTGGAAGCTTCTCCACGGCCTCAGGTCAGTGCAGTGTTCTCTTGGGGGTCAGAGCCTGGCAGCACAGAAATGCTGAAATTCTCAGTGTCCAGGACTCCAACACTCTGAGATCATTGAGTCCAAC